AGGCAGTTGTGTTGACCCTTGTGTGTGTGGCTGCATACATACAACACAGAGCAGCGGTACATAGTATCATTTTTTTTAAAGGATTGGCTAACAGTCATAAAATCACACACTGGCAAGGTAATGGTTAGCATGGAATGGTTAAAATGATGAACATGGGTTGGTTAGACCTGAGACTGCATGAAGAAGGGAAAGAAAGAGCTATACAAATCCCTAATAACATTAAGACCATCAGCTCAAGATTTGCCTGGACTGAGTCTCTTTTCCCAGCACCAGGGAGAAACATTTTAGTTCAAAGACAACAAGTACATTCTAGCAGTTTCTGCTTTCATCAGGAACAGGTCTATTGTAAAGCTAATGAGCCTTAATTACACATTCAAAACTAACCCACTCCAAAGTACTTTACATGCAAGAAAAATAGCTCACAATAATATAATGTTCCTGGGGAAAACTATTCCTCCCCTGCCCACAGTTGTTGTGCAGCTAAGCTCAGAAGAAAAGAAGTTGGGGGTCTGGTGTTGCAGACTATGTCACCATTCTTGTTAATCAGAAAATCCAGGCACTATTACCCTGTAAGCCCTGGTTCCACTACATCACTCACTCACATACACACATGCATTTTCAAGGTGACCAGTTTCTGTGGGAGAATAAAATATCTGTTTTGGAGGCAGTCCAGGTTAAAGTTAACCGCAAGAACTAGTTCTTAGAAAATTATATCCCAACACAGATCTTCAAGTAAAATCCAGCTTGTAACATGAATATCATCATCATCATCATCATCATCATCATCAACTGAAACAATAATACCAACTGAATTTAAATGCTACTAGGGGTTCATCATGTATATATTCTTTAGGCAATCCTATACTTGCATACACAGAAATAAGTCCCAGAGAATTCAATGGCACTTACTTCCAGGAGGTCTTAAAGGACTGCCTCTTTAATTACCTGTTTTTTTATATATTTATATGTCCCTGAGTTCCTTCTCTGTATACAAAATGTCCCCCAGGTCTTAGACTGAGAGTTAAATACAGCTCCCTGAATTAATCTATAGGAGTCTAAGAAGATACAGTGCAGTGATTGCAGGTAGGTGCCCATACCTTTTCTTAACAACATGTTGTATTCTGATACTTCACATGATCCCGTCTATAGAACTCTAGACTCTTACTAGTGATTGACCATTAGGAATGGAATCAGAAATATAAGCTTGATCATTTGTGAAGTTTGGTAAGTATTTCTGTACTAAGTGTAAGTTCATCATACAATAAATGCAAGATTGGTATAACCTGCAAATGTGAAATATCCACAAGCAATTAAACAGGTATAGCATTCACATTATCTCAATACTGTACATTTTCAGTAGATATTGTTGGACTGATGTACATTAACATGTGGACCAACAATCACTCTTCATACTTTACCTGAGAGCACATAAGCATTATTGGTGTGAGTTGACCTGTCCGATTGATGTGAATGGGTTAACCACTCTGGGTTACAGTGGCCTACAGTGTTCCTGCTTGGAGTGAGGATTTGAACCCATTTATCAGAGGTCCTGGTCCAGCCCATTAGCCCCTTCTCCACAAGAGGCACTAGGGTGAAGTTTTCAGGGAGGAGGCAGATGCACAAGTTTCTCTATGCCTGATGGAGGAAGTAAAAGGCACCATACATTTCTGGTGCTCTTTTTAAACCTAATAGTATGGTGTGTGTGTGTGTGTGTGTGTGTGTGAGAGAGAGAGAGAGAGAGAGAGAGAGAGAGAGAGAGAGAGAGAGAGGAATTAGTCACCACTTTCACACCATGCCTCAATCCAATTCTCTTGTCCTCTACAAGTGCTTTTATGAAAAGAGGAAGATACCAAAGAACCAGTCATGAATTTTGAGGATAGCATGTTGATTGGCCATGAATGAGCTTGCTGGTCTTCTCAGCCCAGTGTTATATGTGCTTTGGTTGGCGGTGGCAACCCAGTGTTTCCAGTGTTTCCAAAACATGCAATCTGTTTATGTTAGACGTATAACAGAATGCTCTGCCACTGAGCTGTACTGCTTTAGGAAGGAGGGCTTTCAATACAGATTTTATCCTACTTCAGAGCAGAAAGTCCGCCATGGTAAGTTATCCTAAGGCATCCATTCCGATCCTGTACATTGGTAACTCTACCAAAAAACAAATTATTGTATGGCCTGTAGAGAATAATGTAAAATAAATCAATTATATTTCAAGACTACATTGGTCTGGGTTGATGGGAAATTGCTTCTAAAGCTGAGATGATGAAATCTGCACCTATGAAAAATTCATATTAGTCTGGATCCAGACTTAGGCATACTTAGAGTGAATCCACAAAAATCTGTGGCATTTAAGATAGTCATGACTAACTTAAGTCCCATGAATTTCAATAGGACTAACTCTAAGAGAATAAGAAATTTGAAGAATCAGGTACTTCCTCTGGTCATACATGCCGGTTTCTTTTTCTCTTTCTCTCCATTCTCTTGTACCGTAAAAGTATAACAAACCATGCAGCAATGGGCTATGCCTGAAATGTTGTAGACCTTTTGCCAGGCAGTGCAGACCAGTCATACCCATTAGACTACAGCTCAGTTCCCACCATCCCCATCTCTGTCCCGTCCCGTCCCGTCTAATGACTGGGGATGGTGGTGGGAGTTGCAAGTTGGAGTGCATCAGCTTAAGGAAGACTGTGCCATGTTAGGTAGGCCAAGGGTGGGCAGCCTTCAGGCCTCTAGGATCAGCTTTGTAAGTTTTTTACAGCAACCCTCTGATGCACCATCAGAACTTGGGTGCAAAATAGTGACTTAAGAGGGTGCAAAGAAAGAACGGCGCATGCTTGTGATCAAAACCAGAATAAAGCTCACTTCTGTGCTTTTGTTTGGGGCATTCATATGCTGCCTTAATTATTTTTATGTCAGGGTGGTTTACAGCGCAAATGAAAACCAGTCTCCTTTCCTCCAAACTGATTTCCATTTCCTATTATCATCTGCCTTTGAAATTCCACACAAATTCAGATGCAGCCTGTGTGTGTTGGAGGTAGGGCAGTGGTAATGAAGAAAAAAATAGGTGTGACATGAGCTTGTGGCCACGAAGTACTTCATTAAAGGTCTTTGGATCTCAAATGTTATTAATCTTATAGATCTGATTTGCTCCTCTGTGAGAAAATGCAGGGTTAACTTACACACAAGCTGTAAGGAAGTGTATAAATGTTTTATTTGTAATAAACAAAATAATTTCTCATGAAAAGTTTCAAATCAATGTTTTGTCCAAAGAATGGAAAGAAATATAAATTTCAGCTGCAAAATCTTATCTTTGATTTAGTAAAAATTACATTTTTATGAGAAAATATGCACCCTTTAGAACATAAAGAAAAACTATGAAACCAGAGCAACTTATGTGCAATGCAAGGATGATGAAGGGAAGACAGAGCTTTACCATATTGTGATAAATGGCAGTTATTTATGAGGTAAGAGATTAAAAAAATAAATAGTCTTAATTCAGGTATGTGGAAACTAAACAAGTTAACCTGCTACATGGGTAGCAAGACAAATAAGTTGGTAAAATACATTTTCTTTCTGTGCCTTGCATCAAGAGGGAAAACATAAATGAATTATTGCAGAGAAACTAGTGCCCAGGAATAATTAAAAATCCCCTCCATGAGCTGCATTGAAAACAAAGTTATATTTTCAGTATCTCAAGATGCATTTACTGAATGGCTCCATGAGGAGGCCTTTTTTTAAAATTAAAGTTTGCAAGGCATTGTGTAACTGAGGACATCCAGCACCTGTAAAGAGAGCAAAAATGTGCTGAGTAGAGTAGAAACAGAATAAACTGCTTTTCTCAGCCTGGGCCCATGGCTTACTTGTTTGAGAAAACTATGTTTTCCTGACTAGGATTTCTAGCTCAGCCTTCTAACCCGACCTGGAGACCCCCAGATGTGTTGGACAGAGTTCTCATAATTCCTAGCCAGCATGGCTGAGGGAAAACAGCAAAGGATGTCTCCCCATCTCAGGGTCCATAATGCAGCTTACCTCAAAATATCAAGGCATTTTGCAACCAAACACATAAAATAGCTCTTTCTCTCATGGTAATAGCACAGTAACAGATTAAATAAATAATATGGCAGATCAGATCACCAGCCTGAAGTAGCAGCCTCACTTTTCCTAATGACAGCGCCGGCCCTGGCTGCACTATCCACATAATGGGTATTATAGCAAGAACAAAGGTTATGTTTAATTGTGAAAGGTTTGTATAAATAACAGGTAACATAAAAAAATAAAATATTGCTTTGCAAGGACTAGCTATGTTGTAGAAATCACCATTATTTTCAGGACAAAGAACTTACATCTGCTTTATACTTTTCATTCAAAGAGGGTTTTGCAGCTGTGGGAATGCAACTTTTGTATAGATGCAGTATTGCAGTTCATATTGGAACACAGGCAAAATGTGCTCATTGAAGTTCCACAGTGTATGGAAGGGATTCTCTAAAGATGATATGCAACCTTTTGTGTGTATTCAAGAAATAATGGGGAAGATGCAGAAGAAGCACGGTGGAAGAGAAGCGATTCTGTAAGTTATATGAACATAAGGGCTAAAGCCCAAGATAACATTGACATTTTTGGCTGATAACCCGATAACACAGTTTTACAGTAAATAATATGTGTATCGTCATTTTTGCTTACCCTAATTTTTCCCTTCCTCCCCTACATTCCCCTTGGCTTTTGTTTCTCTGTTCTGTCTCCCAGTTGATCAGCTGCAAGAGGTCTGGCTCCTGCACTCTTCTATACAAGCAACACACACACACCCTACCACTTCACCAGTGAGTTAATAACTGTGGGGTTAATTCTGTAACAAAGTGTGACTTGGAGTTCATTTAATTTGAAGACATTGGTGCCAGCATTTTGCTTCTAACTCTTCAACTGTGTACCCCCAGTGTTTTCTACATACTGATTATTCTTCTGTTTGAACAGTTCTTTCTTTCCTTTCTTGAAACAGCCCCAAGTAAATGGAAAACCAAACCTTCATAGAAGAATTTGTTTTTATGGGCTTTTCAAACCACCCCGACCTCTATGTTCTCTTCTTTTTACTATTTTTAGCCATCTACTCAATAACTCTAGTAGGAAACACTCTGATCTTAACCCTGATCAGAACTGATCTGTCCCTTCACACACCTATGTACTATTTCCTCAGCAATTTGTCATTTCTAGACATTTGTTATATCTCTGCAACAGTCCCTGTTATGCTGATTAACTTCTTTAAACCAAGGAAAACAATCTCGTATGTGGGATGCATTACTCAACTGTTCTTCCTCATCACTTGTGCAGGAACAGAATGTGTGCTGTTGGCAGTCATGGCATATGACCGATATGTGGCTATCTGCAACCCCTTTCATTATTCCAGCATCATGAGCAAAGGGGCTTGCATGAAGATGGCAGCATTCTCCTGGCTCTGTGGTGGTACAAACTCGCTGGTGCATACCCTCCTTACGTCATCCTTAAACATTTGCAAGTCCCATGAACTCAGCCATTTCTTCTGTGATGTCCCCTTGCTCCTGAAGCTCTCTTGTTCAGACACGTCCATCAGTGAAGCTGTGCTCCATCTAGCCAGTGCCTTAATAGGACTCAGCCCCTGCCTCTTCACTCTGATCTCCTATGTCCACATCATCAGCACCATCCTGAAGATCAAATCTTCCAAGGGCAGAGCTACAGCTTTCTCCACCTGTGCTTCACACCTGACTGTGGTTGTGATATTCTACGGCACTGCCAACTTCAATTATAACAGACCCAGTTCAGGGTACTCCCTGGATATAGACACTTTGGTCTCTTCACTGTACTGCATTGTAACACCCATGTTAAATCCAATGATCTATAGCCTCAGGAATAAGGAGGTAAAGGCGGCCCTTATAAGAATGGCCAGGAAGTATTTCTCCTCAGCCTAGTACCAGCCTTCGCCAACCTGGTGCATTCCAGATGTCTTGAACTATAACACCCATGATTTCCAACCATTAGCCTTGATGCTGGTGCCAATGGGAGTTGTAGTCCAAAACAACTGCAGGGCATCAGGTTCAGAAAAGATCTAGCATCTAAAGAGGGCAGAAAGAGATAATGGGTGGGTGTGGATGAGACTATTAACCCTTTGGGAATTTTAATCACACTATGGTTAAACTCCCCTGTGACCAGCAGACAATGACGTATGGCAAAGGTTGAATGCACCCTGCTCCCTCCTCCCTCTGTTGCCTATGGCTTTTTTTTTTAAGATTGCAAAAGCCACCATTACCAGTGGTGCCTGGCAATCCTGTTTTGGGGCATCCAGGAGTGCCCCTTCCCACCTCCAAGGATGGCCACTTGCTACCTTGCCCATGATTGCTCACTCTCTGTTTTAATTAAAATATCCACCTTGGTACAGAATGTCCCTGTCAACTTATAATAGGAAAGCTCCTTGCAAAGCCCTGGGAGACCAAACTTCAAGAAAAGGTCTGTTTCCCCATTCTGCAATGCCATTCCCCAGTTTCTTTGGGGGAGATCTGCTGCCCCAGGTATCCCCCAAGTGCCTTAAAACTTGGAGAAACTTTAAAACTTGAGGAAGACCCCTGTAGAGCAATCATGGTTGTTTACAGGTTCTTTGGACAATGTTGAGATATTCAAGTTTTGCTTCTATGTTTGAGCACTTTCTCACAATTTTTTAGAACAGGAAAATTATGTATTATTTTCACAATCCAAGAACTACTTGTGCATTTGCACTATTCTCACTATAGCATGGTGCCTCCTATGGTGGTATAACAAAAAACGTAGGAAATGAAAACCTAGTCCGAAGCTTGGGTCTGAAATAGCAACAAAACTGAAAGAGGATGCAGAAATTAACAGTCTCATGTGCTGTATCTAAACTGCATAAGTTATTCAAACATTCCAGTAAGAGCTTTTTATACAGACTTTGCAAGAAGTATATTTAGGATTCAGATTACTGGAATTTTCAGTAATTAAAGACAAAATTGAAGCTGCCATGCTTCAAGAACATCATTAAAAAGCAGAACTCACCAGAGAAGACAATAGCACTAGGGAAAGTTGAAGGCAGAATAAGAAGGGGAAGACCTTATATGAGATGGATTGACCCCCAACAAGGAAACCACAGCCTTGACTTTAGAAATGCTGAGAGGGACATTTTGGAAGTCATTCCTTACCAAAACTCAGAGGTTACTTGACAGCATGAAACAACAGAAAAAAGGAACTTCTTTTGCAACATTTATAGGCATTTGGGTTACAGTTAGACAATATTACTAATTCTTAATTATATCTAAATGTCCAATATATGATAAAGATTAATGTAATAACTACACACTTAATATTTATTCTGGAAAAGAATACAAAATCAAATTGGCAGACATTTTGTTGTTGGGGGACATCAGGATCAGTTTAAGATATTATAAGACCTGAAATGGAAACTTCCAACAGAGGAACAACAACTGCTATTTCTACTTCTACATCTTCTTCAACCACAATACAGCAATTTGTTGTATTTTAATGATACTCAGAATCTCATAGAGGAGTTAATTCTGATTAACAGTTGCTTTGGGTTTGGAAACAAACCAGAATTTTTTCTCAGCTTAATTCCTGTCACACTAGAAGAGTTTTTCCCCCTTTTTAAACTTTTGGGGAGTTTTAAAAAAAATGAGTTCTTGAATAATTGTGGTTCCTCATCTTCCACAGTAATATAGCTCAGCTTATCCTCTTAAGTCTCTGCCACTGTAATCTGCTGCTTCTAGTGCAACTTGAGCTACAAATTGATAAATTCCTAGTCCAGATGTCACTTCTGCCATAGGTTGCTTCCAGACAAGACTTTCATCATGTCATCATTCTGCCTTATTCCTGGAATTTTATGGGAAACCCAGACTGTGTTGAGTTCGCTCTTAACCCTCCCATGTTTTCCCATCATTTCTGCCCCACCCCCCCACAACTCAAAAATATATGTCAATAGGAAAAAGGACAATATTTGCACAATCCCTTCTGATCAAAAGCACAAAGAGCCCTCCCTCTAGAAACACCCATAAACTCACTAGATGGCCCTAGGTAAGCTATTCTTGCCTAGCTTGGATTCCTTTCCTATCTGTCATACTGGAAAAACAACACTGATGCCGGGTTTTTGTAATCATTACAAGAGAAGGTACATGAAGTGTTTTCAATAATTCATAGTGCTGTATGAACACGTATTATTATCATGCACAAATCAGTCATTACTTGAAGAGAACCTCCTGGTTAGCAGTAGACCTTGTCTTTTCACATTCATGTATTTCAGGTTGAATGTCATCCCCTCAGTGGCCAAAAGAGAACCAAAAAATGCAAGACATGTCCTCAAAACATTTCGTTTGTCTCCTTCAGGATACATAAGCTGGCATCTCATTGTTGTAAAAGCACAAGACCAGCAGTGTATTTCTCTCCATCTCGTCCATTTCACATGCATTTCTCCTGGGCACTGAGGGCATAGAATTCTCCCTCTGGGGTTCCTTGTATCTTTGGAGAGGCCAGACCTCTGCAACTAGATGAAAAGGAGGGACTGAGTGTACTCAGCTGGGCTCCACCTGTGTCAAGTATAGAGAGGCAATGGAACACCACTGTGACTTGATTCCTAAATACCAGTGGTTCAATTATAAGTACAGTGCTTGAGGGCCACCTAGGAGGGTCAATTACAGACTTCCTCAGAGGCTTTACCTGAGCTAAGCCCAGATTGTCTTGTATATTATGGCCTCATTCCACCAGAGTAACTTTAAAGAGCCTTGGAATAAATGCAAAATAAAGCACTTCGAAGCTTTCTTAAGCACAGTCATTTGTCCCAGCTCCAGAAGCTTATCCTGTGTGACTAGTGGAAAACTAATGAGAAAGAGCTACATTTTCATCTGTTCTTTGTGTAAACACATCTGTACAGCCCTAAACATGAAGCACTACCACTAGTCATTGTCAGAGCCAGCTCTAAAATAAATAGTACCCCGAAGTGAAGAGAGCTTTTTGTGCCCACTATCCTATACTGGGATAAGTGGCTAGGGATCCAGTTGTGCTTCTAACCCTGAAAATGCCAAAGTCCTTCTGGCAGAGCTTTGTGCTGCTTCCTGGACTCAGCCTCTGGTTGCAGCCTGCTGCTGGCCTTCTTTATTACTCATGCAGGAAAGATTCCTTCCTTGAGACCTGGTCTTACACTATTTCTATCTGGATTGCACACCTGATCTTAGCCACTTTAAGAATACGCCATCTACAGTGATATTCGCTGATGAAGACCAGGGTGAAGCTTCATGTAAAAATACACTGTAGATTCAGTCAGTTCATGAACCAACTGAAGAAAAGCTCAGGAAACTCTTGCTGAAGACACAGGGGGAAAGCACAATTAATATTAAGAACTGCTGCAGCCAATAACATAATAATGGTGCCAACATGGAGGGATTAAAAAATGGTATCCAGGCAAATCTGCTTGCACTGAACTAACAAGTCTTGTTCATACCTTGTGGTTGTCATTCTCTCAGGCTGGTGGTTTCAGATGTAGCTTCATCAAGGGAATCTATTACTCTTTCTAGCATGCTAAAGCTCATCTTTGTGCTATTCTCTACAGCAGTTCAATTGCTGTAGTTACTAAAAGCCCTCATCATGGAAGCAGTGAGTGGTACTTGCTCAGAAAGTCAGACAGATGTTGTGAAACGCATTCAATATAGAAAAGAAATGCATGCTGCTCTGATGGACATGCAAGTCTTTGCAACGAAGTACAGTGCTTAGCAAACCAATGAAGGGACTTCACATTTTTGATATCAGTCTTAGTATGGCATGACGTCCTGGTCCATGTGAATATTGCAAGTAAGGATATGCAATGCCCTACAATGAACACAGGAACGTCTCATGAGGAACCTCCTTCATGAAGAAGTGCATGGAGATGATCACAGTGTACAGGCAATGCTGAGGTAGCGATCACAGTGGAAAAGCTTGTAGAGGCCCTTGATGCTGGCAGCATTTTCAAGGAGTCTGCAGGTAAATCTCCAAGAGGGCATCTGAACTCAAATGTGAGTTCTTCTGCAGTCTTGCTATCACTGCTCATTTTTCAGTTGAAGATGTTTTTGAGCAGCTTGAATATCACAGGAATATATGTAGATACCAAAGTGGAAAAGCAACATTGACGCTCACTGAAGGACAATCATGTCTGTAAGTACCCCAATAACCTGCTGATCCTTGAAAGTGGGTTCACAGACACTTGCTTTTTACTATCCTAGCTCTCTGCAGACAGCACATTGAAAGCAAAAGCACAGTCACTGAATGCAGTTTGGTGCCCTGCCAACTGCCCAGCCTGCCCACCCCTAAGGCTGGCCTTGGTCATTGAAAGGTATTGTAAAAATAATAGATAATGCTGCATATTTAGCAATAATGTATCATTCGCTAATATCATTGGGGAAATAAGCTGCTTGTTCTTACTAGGCTGGTGTTCATGATAACCGCAGTCTACTGCAGCTTAGTTAAGCCATGTTGGGCAGCAACGCAGCTGAATAGCCATTTTGAATATTCAGCCATTGGCAGGGTATTGCCAATGATTTGCCATATTGTCTGAGCCTAGTCCATAGAAGATTCTGGAGGGGTCCACTGTAGGATTATTTGAGGGTTGTTTCCCCTCCCAAACCCTCTGCAACGTGGCAAACAATGGTAACTCCCCTGCCAGTGGCTGATTCTTCAGGATATAAACTCAACAAGGAACAGATCATGGTGGAAAAAATACGGTGACATTTTTCTTTCCTTCTTTCAGTTACTCTGAACTTTTTCTCTTTCTTTCTTTCTTTCTTTCTTTCTTTCTTTCTTTCTTTCTTTCTTTCTTTCTTTCTTTCTTTCTTTCATCTAGTACTGCACCCTATCCTTGGGCCTCAGAATGGTCAATGCTTCACCAAATATGAAGCATATTTTAAAATATGAAAATGACTTC